TGAAACGAATATAGTTTTGATGTTTGGTAGCATTCTTTGAAAATGGAGTCACCATACCAGAGCGCCAATATTGCGGTTTGTGTATTTTTATAGCGATTTTCGCCAGTGGTTTAATCCCAGCCTCTAATTACTCTGCTGTTTCAATGTCTGATATTGCTTGTTCGTCAGGTTCACTGCTTATTTCAATTCTGATCACATATTTGAAAGCCGTTTCGCTACTGCCGCTGTGAACGTCTTTCACAGCATTTGATCTTTTCTTATGGAATAACTGAACCGACAGTGTATCGGTAGTATCGAAAACAATAGTTGAAGCAACTGATTTATGTGTAATAAGTTGCAAATTTGATGATTGATTAACGTTACCCGAAACAACTGAGGAATCTATTTTCATCTCTGTAAAATGCTGCATAAATCAGCTTCATTTTAACGTACAGCATGTTTAGACGAAGCACGTAAAGAGGAACCGTCGCAGAGCGGAATGAATGATCAAGCACCATCGACTTATGCGCCACCGGCTCCAACATCACCTGCTCAGACAATATCGGCTCAGACAGTGCCGACTCAGGCACTACCGGATAAGGCACTCCTGGTTCAGTCTGGGCAGAACCGTAGCCAGAAAGACGTCGAAACCTGTCATGTGACAGCCAATGTTGTAACATCAAAGCATTCATATGCAGAAGGATCAAATGTGTTGGTATAGTTTTGACAAAATATTAATTGTTTTAGACTCTGCTTTCATTGCTGATTAAGGCGCGAGGTCTTGTCAAAGAAATTAACTCGTTAAACGGCTATCCATTCGAGCTACCGCCGTTGCTGCAAGATGGAACGCTCCAGAAGTTGGCGGATGATTTCCGTGCAACCGCGACATCGGTGGAAAAACTTCAGCAAGATTTCGCCGTGAGTAAATCTTTCATTTAGTTTCTTCCGGAAATTCGTTATACACTTCGCCTCCATTCGAACAGTCTTCGCAACTCCTAATCTACCTCGGCTTTTTATAGTTTGCGCTCAGTTTTAGGATGCCATCCCGCTGGTCTATTTTCTTCTGTCTGTGTGACACTCGACTACGGTTCCATAGCGAAGAGGTTGATTTTAGACGAAACACGTGAACATGCTTGATCTTCATCTTTCATGGTCACTTCTCCTTTCGAGTCGCAGAGGCAAACACGTCAGACAGAGCTTCAAACGTTCCTGATCCTGTCAGTGTGTGAGCGTCGGCATAAAACAGCTGGAGTCTGGAATAGACTCCTTCCATATACTTGCACCAGGTAAATATTGGCCGTCCACTGGGCCTTCTGCCTGTCGGTTTCGCAAGAAACAGTTGCTTAGCCTTCCTTTCTGGAGCCATTCGCAACACACGATCATACCATCGCAACTGTGACTTCTCATTCTGGAGAAGCAAATGCTGTACATCAAGGCTGTTCCAGATGTCAGTACGCCGGACCATGTTGAGGCGTTTGAGGCCAGCGACTCGTCTATGAAGGCCCATTTCAGTAGTTTGTACCCGGGTTCGAAGCTTTTAAGTC